CCTCAAAAACATTTTTCATAAACCCAGCTCAAAGACTTTGTATTTCTAGGTGTAAAGATTACAGTAGATGCAGACTGCAGCCAGGAAATCAGAAGACATTTCCTTCTTGGGAGGAGAGCAATGACCAATCTCGATAAAATAGTGAAGAGTAGAGACATCACACTGGCAACAAAGATCCGCATAGTTAAAACAATGATATTCCCCATAGTAACCTATGGATGTGAGAGCTGGACCATAGGGAAGGCTGAGTGAAGGAAGATAGATGCTTTTGAACTGTGTTGTTGGAGGAAAATTCTGAGAGTGCCTTGGACCATGAGAAGATCAAACCAGTCAATACTTCAGGAAATAAAGCCCGACTGCTCATTGGATGGAAGGATATTAGAGGCAAAGATGAAGTACTTTGGCCACATCGTGAGAAGACAGGAAAGCTTAGAGGAGACAATGATGCTTGGGAAAATGGAAGGAAAAAGGAAGAGGGGCCGACCAAGGGCAAGATGGATGGATGGTATCCTTGAAGTGACTGGCTTGACTCTGAAGGAGCTGGGGGTGGTGATGGCTGACAGGGAGCTCTGGCGTGGGCTGGTCCATGAGGTCACGAAGATTCGGAAGTGACTGAATGAATAAACAACAACAACAAAGCTCACATATACTGTAACTCTATGTTTACTTACTCTTTGAACCTTCAAATGTGCATACACTCTGGTCTTGTTACCCATTTACAATGGCACTTCAAATCACATGATTTCATCTGCATGTTCTGTTTTGTTTGTTGCTGCCAGAAGTTTTTTTATAGTCACTGGTTTTGTTAAATTTTCTGGTATTTTAGCTACAATGTTGTGACATGGTTTAGTAGTGAGGAGGCCCAAGAGGATGATACTATGAGTTACTGCACTGGGAGACATCAACCCTAGTGATGGCACTGGGACTCCATTTGCTTCTCTGTCCAGTTCCAAGAAAGTGCGTTGTACATCTGGTGGAGAACAGGCGCTTCAATTCCTCTCCCCAAATTTGGTAAACATTCCATTGTCAATTCAGTCAGGAACCACATCTTTGCTTGGCCTCCACACAATCACACTGATGTCCAAAAGGGAGATGGGGCTGTGTATTAGACTCATTTTCACATTAACATCTATTTGTATTTTATATTACTGCTCTAAAAGCCCTACCAGCTTGAAGCTGGAACAATTCCCTCTATGATTGTACCTATTCCCAGTCCCTCCCTTCAGCTTTGGATAAGAAGCAAGAGTTGCATACATTTTTGGAAAATACAATTTCTCGTGTATCTCATCTGTAAGATCAAATATCTCCTACATTCTTTAATGTATGTAGATACACACACACACATGTGTGTGTGTGTGTATATATATATACACACACACACATACATATACATTTACATATCCCTTGATTCAATGTAATGACAAATGATAACTATTAATTGCAAGACTGAGCCCTCCAGAAGTTGCACTACAAATAAAACAGTTGTAGCACCTTAAAATGTATTTTGTTTTGTTTTGTCAATTCCTGAAAGGGGGTAGGACAGACTGGAACACTCAAAGTTGTAGGTCAGGTGGTAAGCTGTAGCCCTTTAGGTTTTATGGGATTGCAGTTCCCATCATCCTTTGGTTTTGATGGCTCAAATTGATGGATATTTTCATATAGATACACCTGAATGGCTACACTTGCCTATCCCTGTTATAAATCATGATGTAGATGTTTGAAATTTACACATTTCACATTTCAACACTGACCTGCTCCCCACTCTCCTCTCCTGGATTTGATTGTGGACCAGACTCCAGATTTCAAACTTCTTCTCCATTTAACTGGAAACCAATTAAACCCTAGCTTGGATGGAGGGAAGGTGTCTTTGAAAAGACAGGCTTTCAGTCTGACCCAGCACAGCTCACTGTGTTGTTACATTTTTATGGCAAAGATCAACTTTCTATGGCCTGGTGCGTCTCCAGGTGTGGACTGTTATTTATTTATTTCAAAGCTGCTCATATGTATCCAAGGCAGCTTAAAATATAAAATATGATGTTAGAAAAGCACCTTAAATGTAAACAAGCTATTAAAAGACAGTGAAAAGGGGATAAAATTTCAAATACCAAGCAGCAGCAAATACCACTAAAGTAAAATACCAGTTTAAAGCCAGAAAAAACAGGCATGCTGTTATGGCTCTTTCAAAAGCTATCAGAAAAAGAGAGACATTTATCTCTTAAAGGTGAATTCTGTAGGACAAAGACCTTTTCACAAGTTTCTGGAAAGTTGTTCCCCAGAATTTCAGCCAGCATGGGAATTGGAGGGCTTTATTGTCATTTATTTTTATGTATTTCGTTTAAGAACCATTGCATAAAATATTTTATCTAAAACTGATAAAATAAAGAGATCACATGCTGCTAGATAGTTTTGGACCAAAATCGGGCAACAGCGACTGCATTGTATGCAGCTTTAAACAATTCTTTCTCTGTATGTGAGGCAGGGCATTGTGGGCAAGCATACAGATGCTGAGTTGTTTGTTCTGCTCCACAGTTGCACAAGGTGAAAGATTCTTCTAGATAGTGCCATTTTGCCAAGTTGTCTTTTGATCTGCCAACTCCATTTCTGAATCTGTTCAGGGACTTTCAAGTTGCCCATTCTTGGTTTGCCCCTGCAGGAATACCCTAGTTGGGAGGGGGGGGGACATCCAGTTGGAATTGCCTGATTTTGCTGCTATAAGAACATTTAGAAGAGTAGTGATTCTCATGAAACTTTTCCTTCATTTAGGTCTACTGGGAGAAGGCTGATAGCCATATAGTGGCTTTCACAATGTTTAACCTTATTCTCTCGCAATTGGCAGCAACTTCCTGTCGCACATTTGGGGGGGGGGGGTAGCAGTGCCAGCTAGCTTATAGAGTCTGTCAAGAGGTTTACGTTTAAGACATCTTGTGATTATTCTACCTGTCTCATTGGGGGGGGGGGGGCTGTGGAGGTTATAGTCCTTAAAAGCAACTCTTCCGAGCTCTATACCTTCTTTCTAGCTTGTCAGTCTAAGGGGACAGTGAATAATTACAGCTTGACTTGAGGGATCTTAAAGATTATCCTAAAAAACCATGTTGATTGCAGTTGATAGATGTTATCTAATGTAAAAAGCAGGTACAAGAGTGAATAAAGATAGGACAGATCAACCGTAACGTGTTTAAATCCAACTACATTCAGGCTGTGGAAGGAAGTTCCATACACAAAATCCACACAGAAATTTAAACTATGATCCAAAAATAATTTGTCTCATATGCTTTTGTGCCTTGACATCTGCAGCATTGTGTTGACTTCTATGCGTGACAATCCCTCACATGAATAATGATTACAGATAACACATGTGCGCCACTGGTTTTGATTACTCTATTCCAGAATAAGACCAAATTTGGAAGAATTAAAAATATGAAGCAGCTTCTAGCTGGATTTAAGAACATTTGTACAACAACATTCGACCATTAGATAAACGATAAAAGAACAGCCAATAATTTATAATTGGCAATCCAAATTCTAATATGGTTTGGGATTTGTATTATGTTTTATGGCAAAATCACCACTCCCATGTTCTTCCTTTCACCAAGACTTCCAAGGAAACAAAGATGGGGAAACATAGGTTCTGCAGATATTCTGAATTCCCATAATTCTTTGACATTGCCCATCCTGGGTTGGCCTTCTGGAAACTGAAGTCTGAAACATCTGGGTAGCCAAAGGTTCCTCCTCCCCTAAAATACAAAATTACAATTTCATGCAAATCCAGGAGACAAGAGGCATGTCACCCTCCAGATATTGCTGGCCTGTGAGTCCTACCATTCACATAGCTGGCTAAGGAAGGTTATGATTAGGGTTGTGTATTTGGGGTAAATCTTGACTTTGGGTGGAGGCACTGGTCCATTTTTTGGGAGTCTCCTGAAATTGAAAGGTCAGACATCTGTTTTTGGTTTGGCACCCTGAAAGATCGGTTTTCTATCAGATCTTTATGGGAGGGCTTCCCACCCAGGCCCCCCTTCCCGGCACACACTTTAAGGCTTCTTACCTGCTGTTTCAAGGCATGTAGCCCGGGGGGGGGGGTTGATAGGCTTCAGCCCCCCCCCCCGAAATTCTCAGGGTGGTCCGCGAGAAGGCCTTTCTGGTACATTATTTAAACTGTTGTTTATTCATATCATGATCTGACCACCATGCTCAATATATCCCATATACATGGGGGTATTGGAATAACGATACAAAAGGTTTGATAGGGTCGATCCTCTCTCACTCAGACTCACCCCCCCCCCCAAATCAAACTCAGCCCCCTCAAATCAAAATCCTGGCTATGGGCCTGGCTGTTTCTACTTTAGAGAAAGAAGTGCTTGGCTGCAGGCACTGGCAGGTGCGTATGCTTTCTGGGCCTGCCACACCACACACTCTTTCCAAGGCAAGGAGGCAAGTTCTGGGAGATGCTCAGCTGCCGACAAAAGCAAGCTTGGAGCCAGGATCACCTCCAGCTTTCTTTCATGTCGAGCAGATTTTTGTGTGGGGAGGGGGCTTCCCGTTCCATGCTCCCAAAGAAACAAAAGAAACAGGAGAAACAAATTCTGCACACAACTCTAGTTACAATTCAGCCAACATCCAGAGGGACACACTGTTCCTTCCCATCATTCCTCTGCCCAGTTATCTAGTTCTCAATGAAGTCCATGGAATTTACGACTGAATAGACATGTATAATATCAAGTTCATTTTAGGGGCTTATTTCAAAAATGTACATCTCAAAACTCAATTTATTAACTGTGGAGCTTGGATTACAAATCCAAATTTAGCCCAGTTAGTGTGGCTGCATGATACCGCAAGATTCTGGGAGCTCTCATCCAAAAAAATCCACTTTCTCAAGTTCTGATTGACAGATTCATTTTCCAGAAAATAATAGCAGCGAAGAGCAATGTACAATAATAGGAAGTAGCAAAGGCTCTTGTTAAACATGTTTAACCTAGGGAATGAAATGTCACTTGACACCATTTTGCCTGTAAAATACCAATTTATTTTAATACTTAAAAAACCCAAATAAATCCAGTGATAAATGTTCATTATCAAGAATCAGCATAAAGTGCCAAATAGCAATAATCTTAACCAAAAACATATTGGAATGTCTCATATTTTTACACTGTTTCAAAAAAAATGACTTTAGATAAAGCTCTCAGGATGAGATTTGTCAACCCCACCTCCACAAATCCATTCGCTCCTCATCCGGACTCATGCTACAAACTGAAAGTACCACGCGGCTCCACCACCCCACTGTATGCAGCAGTCCCTTTGGTTTATTGTTGCCTGCTTTCCCACTTTGGGTGGCTATTGCTTTTCCTTTGTTTAAAGACATCCACAAATTACAAACCACTTCCCAAGGCACTAGAGCAGAAACACATACACAAAGCTCCCCAGCACCACTGCCCAGAATATGTGGCAAAGGAGACCAAATGATCAGAGAAGATGTTCAAATCTGTAATGGGGGCTGCAAGATCCCTGTTGGGTGATGCTTTGTGGGACCATTTTGACCAATGCCTCTTGTTTTCAAACACAGTTTATCAGTGGTTTTCCTTCCCATCTCAACAGAAGGGCCTGAAAATCTGAAGCCCGTTGCTGTTATGATTTCCTCTTCTGAAGCAGCTGTCTTCAAACAGTCAGATGCAAGCGCACACACACACAAAGAAAAATGCATTTAAAACAAAAAAGCAAACGCTTCAGGAAGCTACTTTTGGTGTTTGTTTCGCCTCTGAACGTGAAGATTCCTCTTCAAAGCTTGAGCACCACCTTTTGACGGGTCATGCAAGAGTTGCACTCTGAAGCACCCAGGTTTCAAAAAAAGGCTGTGTTTGCATGTAAAAAGGGCTTTGGGGTTTGTTTTCCTTTCCTTTAAAGATACTTAAATTAATCATGGTTAGTGCTCCCTGTTGTCTATGTCAAGAATTTGATCAAAAAATATAGAATCTGGAGGAAGGTTAAGTTCATGGGGATGAGAAGCTTCAGCATTTCATCTTGGAAGGTTTCAGTTCCTTTACTTGTGTGTGCAGCGTCTTGTGAACAGCAAGAGTCCTGGACTGACAAAATCCTTTCCCACATTCTTGACACTTGAATGGTTTTTCTTTGGAGTGGATATATCTGGGAAGAGAAAATAATATAATGAATTGTTGCTTTTTTAACAGCTCATATTTGATGTCTCTGCTCAAATATGCTTCTGTCTCAACTTGCTGGGACACACGGTCAGAACTGTCAGAAATGGCTCCCATATACCAACAGGGAGCTTCTACCAACAATCTCTGAGCTTGGTCCTCCTCCACCATCACTAGATTTGTTCCTCAGGATTTCATAAGATGTACTATGCAGGTCTCAGGATTTCATAAGATGCATTAAAAGGAGGCTGATAACACTTATGTTCCTGTAGTACAGTGCTTCCCAACCTGTGGTCCATGGCCCACCAGTGGTCCGCAAGAGCTATAAGTGGTCCACAACCTCACTGTTACTACACCGTTGCAACAAGAGTGACTGGTCTCACGAAACCCTCTGATGGCTTTCTGGCAAGCAGATGTCAACTACTGGATGGCATATGTTCTGTATCAGAAACTAGAGCTGATGTGGTCTGTCCAATGTAATTTTCTGAATCAACGCCCCAAATAACCAAACTCAATCTAAAGTTGACCAAAAACTGATTAATAACTCTATTGGGACTAATGTTGGAGAGTGGTCCCTGGTCAAAAAAAGGGTTGGGAACCACTGCTGTAGTATGAAATAATCCCTAGATATTTGATTCTAAGTCAATGTATACCCTTGTTTCAACATATATATGTACACTATAGAATGAATGCAGTTTGACACCACTTTAACTGCCATGCTATGGAATCCAGAGATTTCTGGTTTGGGAAGCCATTGACACTGTTTTGCAGAGAAAACTAAAATATTTGTAAACCAACAACTTACATGATTCCATGGCATTGAGTTAAAGTGGTGTCAAACTGCAGTATTTCTACTGTGTAGGTGCACCCAGAGAATTTCAGTACACACAAACTGTCCCATTCATTCCAAAAGACAGCCCTCTTCTATGTTTTGCAGAGACATACATATGGAGATGCTGCCTCCACTGAACTAAGTGAGATCACATACAATGAGAACATCAATTCCTAAAAGAAATCATTGGGTTGGAATGCATATCTTACACAACAACATGCATGCAAATCCCATTGTTTACAATAGACTCAGAATATATGTCCTATGCTTAAGCAAAATTATTTTTTTGTTCCAGTGGAAATATGCCTAAGAAGACTTCCTAAAAACACGTATCTGTAGGGTAGTTTGTGTTCCCTGGGTTCAATTGCAAAGTGCACATGTTGGGCCTTTTCACATCACACCATTATAGCACTATGAGTCTACTTTGAGTGGCAAGGCTCCATACGTTGGAATCCTATGCTTGTAGTTTGGGGGGGGGGGTCACTAGAACTCTCCAGCTGAGAATTCAAAGTACCACTCTCTAAATTACAAATGCCATGGCAGTTAAAGTGGAATCATAGTGCTATATTTGTATGCCATGAAAGGAACCATTGATTCTCAGGCCGCCTAATATGAAGTCCAGGGGTAATTCTTTGACGCAGCGCCCAGACACGCATCAAGGAACATGAAAGGCACTGCAGACTACTTCAACCAGAGAAGTCAGCCATAGCAGAGCTTTGAAACAGCCTGGACACAGCATATTATTTGAGAACACAGAAATGCTGGACCACACCAACAACCACCATGTCAGACTACACAGAGAAGCCATTGAAATCCACAAGCATGTGGACAATTTCAACAGAAAGGAAGAGACCATGAAAATGAACAAAATCTGGCTTCCAGTATTAAAAAACTCTAAAATTACAACAGCAAAACAACAGAGAGGAAACAACCAGGCACAGATTAACACCTCCCAGCAACAGATTTTCCCAGGCTCAGGCAAGCCTTCAAATGCTAATGAAGGTGGTCAGCTGAAACATTCACACCTAGCTTCAGCAGAGAGCTCCTTGCCCCACCCCAGCCATTCCACAGATATATAAACCCATTTTCCTATTTCCAACAGACCTCACAACCTCTGAGGATGCTTGCCATAGATGCAGGCGAAACGTCAGGAGAAATGCCTCTAGAACATGGCTCTATAGCCCGAAAAAACCCACAAGAACCTAGTGATTCCAGCCATGAAAGCCTTCGACAATACAATTCTTTGATGTCTCCTGAATTGCTCATGTTTAACTAAAAATAATTACCGAGAGGTGTTTCAAACATTATTAAAGTAACAACATGAAGGTGAAAACTTCTTGTACTGTAGTTGAAACTCCATTCTTCCTTTCAAAAGGTTAGACCTACAAGAAAGGCCATCCCAGGATAATGTGCTGCCTGAGGCAGAGCAGCAAATGGTAACTCTCTCTCCTTTATCCAAATCAAGCTGAATAACATCCAAAGCCAATCAATTTTTGACACATAAGACAGCAAATCTCCATATCTCTGCCAGTAACAATGCAGTTACAATACTGTTAATAACTAACCATTTGTTGCCCTTTCATGACCCCATCTACGCTGCCATATAAAATCCAGAATATTTACTTTGAACTGGATTATATGGCAGTGTAGACTCATATAATCAATTTCAAAGAAGATAATGTGTATTATCTGATTTGATAATATTGATTATATGGCAGTGTAGAAGGGGACAAAGACATATAATCCAGTTCAAAGCAGATAATCTGGATTTTTATTGCAGTGTAAATGGGGCCTCAGGGCCCTTCCATGCAGCCCTATCTCCCAAAATATCAAGGCATAAAATCCCACAATATCTGCTTTGAACCGGGTTATCTGAGTCCACACTGCTATGTATTCCAGTTCAAAGCAGATAATGTGGGATTTTATTCAGCTTGTGTGGAAGGGGTCTGGGTAATCTGAATCTACACTGCCATATATTCCAGTTCAAAGCAGATAATGAGGGATTTTATTCAGCTGTGTGAAAGGAGACTCAGAATTAATTATTTGTTGTTATGTTGTTTTTATTGCTTTTGTGATGTCTTATACTGTTTAATGTTTTTAATCTATATTATGTTTTATGTATACTGATTTGCTGGAAACTGCTTTGAGTTGCCAATTGGCTGAGAAAGGCAGTATACAAATACAGTAAATAAATAAATAAATAAATAAATAAATAAATAAATAAATAAATAAATAAATTGAGGCAGCTGCCTCAAACTACCTAATGGTAGAGCTTGTTCTGCCTGCATTGGAGAATGTACAGGCAGCCATCTCTTCTCATCTCTGAAAACAAGAATCATCATAAAGCTACTGTTCAACTGAATCAGTTACTAACTTCTGTGGCATGGCAGTCTATAAATTAAAGAAAGCTTAAATCCCATAGGAACTATTACTGGTGTTTTATTTTTTTAAAGTTCCTTAGAAGTTGACTCATCCTTTCCTGCTAAAAGTAACTGTCAGCAATAAAACAGAGGTTGCATCAATTGATGAGAAAGGCTTGAAATATTCAAACCAGAATGAATGGTGTCTCTTGCAGGTCACGGTGGACTTTAAAGCCCACGATACTGGACTTGTTCCTTGTGATACATTTGCACTGGTTTGAAACAAATATATCATGGCTTCTTATTTAAAAAGAAAGGTAGGGATAATGTTTTCCTCAACATTACAAATATTCCCCTCATTTCTTGGTTGACAACCACTCCAGTCTGAAAATGATTTAAAGTAAGTGAGAAATTGCACTTTGTCCAACCAAAGCCCCTCAGATATGTTGGAACACAGCTCCCACCATCCCTGGCCAGCCTAGCCATTTAGCCATGTGGCTTTGGAATGAGGGGGGGGGGGGTCATTAACTGACATCTCTGGAAGGCAAATGCTGATCGTGTATTCTTCCACAACTTTTGTTATCATTGCAAAGTCAGCATAGTTTGAGCAGCCAATAATCATTTGGTAGCTTCTTTTTTCTCTGTCCTGGAAAATGTCTATCCTTGCAAAGGGGCCTTCCATACAGCCATAGGTAAAGGTAAAGGTTTTCCTCTGACATTAAGTCCAGTCGTGTCCGACTCTGTGGGTTGGTGCTCATCTCCATTTCTAAGCCAAAGAGCCGGTGCTGTCCATAGATACCTCCAAGTTCATGTGGCCGGCATGACTGCATGGGGTGCCGTTACCTTCCCACTGGGGCAGTACCTATAGATCTACTCACATTTGCGTGTTTTTGAACGGCTAGGTTGGCAGAAGCTGGAGCTGACAGTGGAAGCTCACACCGCTTCCTGGATTCGAACCTGCGGTTTAACCCACTACACTTCCAGGGACTCCTCACACAGCCAAAAAACCCAGAATATCAAGGCAGATAATCCACAATATCTGCTTTGAACTGGGTTATCTAAGCCCACACTGTCATATAATCCAGTTCAATGTGAATTTTATACAGCTATGTGAAAGGCATCCCAGGAGAAACGGAGCCTCAGAAAAGTGGATTTCAGGGTAAGAATTAAAGGTGTATTCAAAAATATTTGAAAAGTGGTTGAAAAATACAGTTTTCAAATATGTGTAAATTCAAATGTGATTGTGCTGTGCTGAAAATACTGCATTTATGCACCTAAGTACTATTTTCTATGCAAAAATATTTTGTTTTCTGCACAAAGGAATGCTGTTTTCTGTCCAAATGTTTTACTGAATGCATCCCGCATTACCAGTAGGGTACAAAAACTGCATGCATTTCATAGAATTTATCCCAGAGGGAAGGTAATTGTTTAAATTATGCATTGTTTCTTTCTAGAAGAAAATTAGTGAATTAAACTCCTATATCAGGGAATAGATATTTCTTTACCACCAAGAAGAAGATTTAATCGTTTTGGTGGGAAATTGTGGAGGAAACAGCTGGCCATCTACTCTACGAAGCAAGAAAACTTCTGACTCCTTTCTTGCTGCTAATAGAAGCGATGTTTTACAAAGATCATTACTATTTTTGGCATTAATCAAAGCTTACAAGTTATAACAGTAAATGGAAGCATTTAACATGGTGCCGTCTGAGAAGGAATTCGAGGCAAAGTTCTGGAAAGTGGACCAGATTGGACCAGAAAACCATGAAACACAGCAGAATTTATGTATGCGATTTTGAAGCGGAGTAAATAAGGATGGAACTGACAAAACCATATCTGAATACTTTTTGTATAAGAAAACCTTGTGAAATTAATGACACACAGAGACATACACACACAAACCCACAACTACACAAATCAGCCTTCTTGAACCTACCACCATGCAAAGGTTTTGGACTCATAACCCCATGAATCTTAGCCAAAGTGGTTTGGGAATATCAGAGTAGGAAAAGACTAGAGTTCCATCACATCAGTTAAGTCTAGACCTTAAAACAGAGGTGGTCAACTAGCAACTACAACCCCCATCATCCATTACAACTAACTGTGCAGGACTGATGGAAGAATTTCTGGATAACTATGAGTTGCCCATGTTTTCATGAAATTGCTAAACGCCACCCACTACATGTTACAGATGTAACATGTTACAATTCCCATCAGTGAGCAAAGCATTTCCCTCCCTCCTGCTGCTGAGTTAAAAGCCAACTATGTTTGCATTTTGATCTCAGTTGCCAGAAACTGAAGTGAGCAGAAGGCAAAGGGAGAAAGTGGAAGGAAGACATATAAACTGGGACGTTTTAAAGTCATTTGAAAAAGGAGGATGACAGAGGATTAATAAAGATGGTTCATGCCAAACTGAGAGAGTTGAAGATTACAAAATAATCAATGACCATTGGTAGTGAGAGTTGCAGTTCAGCAAAATCTGAAAGGCCACATGTTCTCTGTGTCTGCATTCAATCCAGGACCTACCTGTGATCCCTCAAGTGATCTTGTCTTCTGAAGGCCTTGTGGCAAATGTCGCACGTGTATGGCCTCTCATCTGTGTGGGTTCGTTCATGGATCAAAAGGTTGTAGGACTTGGTGAAGTGTCTGCCGCAGAATTTGCAGACAAATTCCTTCTTGGTTTTGGAAGGTAACCTGCCTCGGGTGGGCTTCTTCTCAGGGGAAAGTTTGGTGACATCAAGCAAGGAGCCCAAGCCAGAAGGGGAGCCTTGACTCTCCATCTGTCCCAATTTGGTATGGTCCTCTTGGGTGGCTGCCACAGCAAGATTGGCAAAATCAAATCTGGGCTTGACTTTGAGAGGCAGAGTGGCAGCTTCGTGCTTGGGATGGATGACGTGGGGGAAGAGAGGGAAGGCTGGCAGCTGGAATCGGGCATCCACTAGGCTGGCAACACCAGGCACTTTGGAGAAGGAGGAGCGTGGCAGGTGCATGGCTGGGTAGCCCAGGGTCCATTGGTGAAGGTGGACAGCATGGAGAGCACTGAAGCCATATAGATTTGGCAAGTGGTCTGAAGGCACTGCAGGAAGGCCATTGAAAGCTTGAAGGAAGGAGTAGTTGGTGAGTTGCAGGGAAGGGTGGATGGGCACTGGGGCAGGCAAAGTCTTGCTACCCATGATAGCAGAGAAGCCTGAGAAAGGAACCAAGCACCTGCAGGAAAGGGAGGGAGGAGGGAGAGAGACACATACGTTTCATTACTGAGAGTGCAGAGTATGTTTTCTATATATATATTGAGCATTAACTTGGCATGAACACACTTGCCCTGGATAAAGAAGGATGAAACTATTACAACACTGAGCTTCCAGATCTAGATGCTAATCTGAAAGTCAAGAGTTCAAATCTTTGTGTGAGCAAAGGAACCAAGCTTCACTTCCTTTTCCCCACCCTCCCAAACGTTAATTTTGAAGGCTACAACTCAACATTAGGCAGGGTACGATGCCATTTTTAGACAAATTCCTCCAAATCTTCCAATCAAGATGGACAGTGGGAGCTGTCATCCAAAAGTAACCTTCTCCAAACCCTTTATTGCCTAAACATGGGGATAAAAATACTGGCTTGACTGATTGATGGATTTCCAACCCATCTGGCTGAAGTTAGTGTTTTCCATGATGGTACAATTCAAAGACATAGAGAGCCATGTTAATAATATACTTTAATAATATGCTTTATTTATATTCCATTCTATCTGCCCGAGGGGACTCAGAGTGGATTACAGGTACATATATGGTGAACATTCAATGTTGTTATACAATTGATGGAGAGGCATCTGCTCGGCCATGGGGAGGTGCTGTTGTTTCGCCCATACACTCCTTTTCTAGTCAGATTTTTGCAGGCATGCTTTTTCAGAGTGCCTTTTGCCTCTCTGTCTATTTATCTACTTACATTGTTGTTTTCAAACTACTAGGTGAGCAGGAGCTGGGCTGATGGAGGGAACTCACTCTGACCCAACCTTCCGGGCAGGATCTTCTAGAAAAGGCAGTTTAATCCACTGTGCTAGCCTGGCCCCTTCTACATTGCTATATAAAATCCACGTTATCTGCTTTGAACTGGATTATATGGCAGTGTAAACTCATCTAATGCAGTTCAAAACAGATAATCTAGATAATATGCTTTGATAATCTGGAGTATATGTTAGGGGCCTTAGTCTGGATCAGTCTGCAAAGGACTCTTGTACCACCTTGAGAGAAATAAGATTTTCTAGGCTTAAATCTACTTTGTCATGTAATGAAGCAGACTTTAGTCTACAAAAGCTTATGCTACCAATTCCTTTCTGTCACTCTCTGAGGTGCTGCAAGATCCCTTGGCATACCGATTTGAACATCAAAGACATTCACATTGACAGGCATCAATAAGTCTATATGTAACCCTCAGGCCTCTTCTACACTGCCAAATAAAATCCAGATTCTCTGCTTTGAACTGAATTATATGACAGTGTAGACTCAAATAACCCAGTTTGAGTCCCCGTCAGGGTGAGAAGGGCGGCATATAAATGTAGTTAGTAAATAAATAAATAAATATAGTGTGGATTTTGTCTAAAGGCCCTTCCAGACAGGCCCTATATCCCAGGATCTAATCCCAGGTTTTCTACTTTAAACTGGATTATATGAGTCTGCACTGCCAGATAATCTGGGATAAACAGAAAATCTGGGGTCAAATCCTGAGATAAAGGGCCTCTCTAGAAAGGCCTTAAGTGACCCAAGTCTTTACTGGGGGTCAGATAAAAATGAATTTTTTGAGAAAGATCAATACAGTTACCCACAGGTTGGGTTGGGGGGGGGGCATTGATTTTGTCATTTAGAAGTCATTTAGAAGTTGTAGTTGCTGGGATTTATAGTTCACCTACAATCGAAGAGCATTCTGACCTCCACCAATAGAATTGGGTCAAACTTGGCACACAGAACTCCTATGACCAAGAGAAAATACTGGAAGGGTTTGGTGGGCATTGACCTTGAGTTTTTGGAGTTGCAGTTCATCTACATCCAGAGAGCACTGTGGACTCAAACAATGATGAATCTGACCAAACTTGGCACAAATACTCAATATGCCCAAATGTGAACAGTGGTGGAGTTTGGGGAAAATAGACCTTGACATTTGGGAGTTGTCGTTGCTGGGATTTATAGTTCACCTACAGTCAAAGAGCATTCTGAATCCCACCAACAATAGAATTGGGCCAAACTTCCCACACATAACCCCCATGACCAATCGAAAATACTGTTTTCCCAATGGTCTTTGGCAACCCCTCTGACACCCCCTTGCGACCTCCCAGGGGTCCCAACCCCCAGGTTGAGAAATGCTAATTTATAGAGAAGAAGACTTGTTCTCACCTTTCAACTCTCATTCTTTCACACAAAGAGTTCATTTTCTGTTACCCAAGACCCCTTCCACACTGTCCTCATATCCAAGGATCTGATCCCAGATTATATAGCAGTGGAAGTTTAATCCAGTTCAAAGCAGATAACCTAGGATCACATCCTAGGATATAAGGACAGTGTAGAAGGGTCCCAAGTCTCAATTACGATCCAATTCTTACTCAGTTCATAGTGCTAGATAATCTTCACTGGGTCTCTGAAGAAGAACAGCCTATGGAAAAGACCTGGTGCTTTAGTAGATGTGTGGTAAGGAGAGTTGAAAACAAAACAAACAAACCAGATGTATTTCCCCTCTTGCCAGATGTGCCCATATCTGGCAAGAAGGGAAATAGAACTTGAATTGGCTTGCTGTGAGTTTTCCAGGCTGTCTGGCCATGTTCCAGACCTCTAGATTGGACTATTGTAATGCGCTCTACTTGGGGCTGTCCTTGAAAATGGCTCGGAAATTTCAACTAGTCCAACTGGCAGCAGCCAGGATGTTAACTGGTGCTCCTTACAGAGAGAGGTCAACCCTCCTGTTTAAGGAGCTCCACTGGCTCCGTTCATTTTCCGGTCCCAATTCAAGGTGCAGGTGCTCACCTACAAAGCCCTTAATGGTTTGGGACCTGCCTACCTGCTTGACCGCATCTCAGTTTATGAACCCGCATGCTCTCTTCGTTCATCCGGAGATGGTGGGGATGAGGGACAGGGCCTTCTCTGTGGCAGCCCCCCTGACTCTGGAACTCCCTCCCCAAGGACATCAGACAAGCCCCTACGTTGGCAGTCTTTAGGAAGAGCTTGAAGACCTGGCTATTCCGGTTTGCCTTTCCAGAATAGGATAACCCCAGCAACACGTGCCAAAAGCACTTTATTAGAGATTAAGATTGTCCGCACATTGCACCTATCCAAAAATCTCTATATATCACTCAGCATACTCAGCACTTTTTAATCTGTACCCATTATATTTGCCCGGCCTAGTTTTTATTGTGTCATGGTGTGTTGTTGTATTGTTTACTGTTATTGCTTTAATGTTTTTGATTCGCTTTTGGTTTATATGTAATTGTTATATTTTGTTTTATTGTGGTCTTGGCCTTTGTAAGCCGCATCGAGTCCTTCGGGAGATGCTAGCGGGGTACAAATAAAGATAATAATAATAATAATAATAATAATAATAATAATAATAATAATAATAATTCTCTCCTGATGTTTCACCCACATCTATGGCAGGCATTCTCACAGGTTGTGAGGTCTGTTGGAAGATAGGCAAGTGGGGTTTATACATCTGTGGCTCAAGAAATACTCAAGAAGTGGTTTTGCCATGTTTTTGTTCTGAACTGTAGCCTTCAGGTCTTCACTGGGGGATCTCCCACCCTAATACCAACCAGGGTTTAGTATCTAAAGTCCAGAGTGGGAGAAAGAACTCTCACAATCTCTGAGGATGCTTGCCATAGATGCAGGTGAAACGTCAGGAGAGAATGCTTCTCGAACATGGCCATATAGCCCGAAAAACCTACAACTACCCAATGATTCCAGCCATGGAAGCCTTTGACAACTCTTGTCTGCTTGAGGCAAGTGTTGCAACTGGCCACCTTGATTGGAACTGAATGGCCTTGCAGCTTCAAACCCTGGCTGCTTCCTGTCTTCAAAGCCTGGTTGCTTCCTGGGGGATTTATTGCTCTGCTAGAGCACAACACAACTGTGAGTGCATCTACACTGTAGCATCAATACCGTTTGACAAAACTGAACTGCCTTCTTGGCTCAATGCTATGGAATCAGGGGATTTGTAGTTTGGTGCGGCACCAGCCCTCTTTGGCAGAGAAGGCTAAAAATATTGTAAAATTGCAGGTTCCCAGCTTCCAGGTGGTATCACATTGCATTCATTCCACAGTGTTGATGCACCTGGTATGTGTGGGTATTTGTTTGTTTTGGATTCTGCTTATAATGCAACATCTAGCAAAGCCTTGGGTCTTTTCCTTTGGCTGCTTTACTTCTGCAGGGATCCAAAGATTATTGCAATCTATATAAATACAAATGTAATGTCCGTTTGTGGGATTAACAGAACTCAAAAACTACTGGATGAATTGACACCAAATTTGGACACAAGACACCTATCAGGCCAATGTATGTCCTTCACTCAAAAAAATTGATTTTTGTCATTTGGGAGTTGTTATTGCTGGGATTTATAGTTCACCTACAATCAAAGCATTCTGAACACCACCAAAGATGGAATTGAACCAAACTTGGCAGACAGAACTCCCATGAACAACAGAAAATACTGGAAGGATTTGGTGGACAGTGTCCTTTGGTTTTGGAGTTGTAGTTCACCTACATCTAGAGATCACTGTGGATTCAAACATTGATGGATCTGGACCAAACTCTACATGAATACTCAATATGCCCAAATATGAACACTGGTGGAGTTTGGGGAAAATAGAATCTTGACATTTGGAAATTGTAGTTGCTGGGATTTATAGTTCACCTACAATCACAGAGCATTCTGAGTCCCACCAACGATAGAATTGGGCCAAATCTCCCCCACAGAACCCCCATGTGAGCCACAGCAAAGCGTGGCAGGTAATGGCTAGTCTATATAAATAAAAATGTAATGTTCATTTGTGGGATTAACATAACTCAAAAACCACTGGACGAACTGACACCAAATTTGGACACAACACACCTATCAGGCCAACGCGTGACCATCACTCATAAAAACACTGAAAAACACAGCAGAATGTTTTCAATTATTATTATTAATTAATAATAATTATTATTAATGCTAGTTATTATTAACTAGCTGTCCCC